ATTTCCCACGCACGAGATTACTGTGTGATGGATGTCCTCCCCTGGGGTGGGGTGGATGGGTTGTTGTCTTGCGTTTCATACATGAGCCTCTGGCTCGGGTAATTTGGGTAACCATGCCCCACGTAAAGACATTAAACTCTGATTACTATTAATGTTACTATTACGATAGACCGCTTTCATAAAGGGCTGCCGGATTAATACTCTTTTGTTTAAATTTAAGTTAGCCCTTCTGGCCTCGCTTGAGATAACGTATTCTTTTGAATTTTGTACTGGAGAACGAGGCCAGAAGGGCTAATTTAAATTTAAACAAAAGAATATTAATCTGGCAGCCATTTATGAAAGTGTTCTATTACTATTACTATTACTATCCATTATTTGTGGTAGTCTGGAAAGACAACCACAAATAATTCGACGACAACTATGAGTTTCGCAAATGAAGACACACTATGAAGCGAGGATATATTTTACGGACAAGCCTTGAATCTTTTTATTTAACCTAGTCGTGGTATCCAAGTACTTATCGAAAACTGAAATATGAAATTATAAGGAAGAAGCTAAGCTAAATGCGAATAGACAAACCAACATTCCAAACATTCCGATATATAGGCAAGATGCAAAGCTAGCTAAAAACTCAAACAAACTCACAAAGGAACTATATATAAGCTCAAGGAAAGGAACATTAGCACTTACATAACAGTCCGCTTGTAAGAACTGAACCAAAACGAACCTCAATATAAGGTAGGTATTCGGAAGCGAAACGGGAAATCCAAACAGATACTTTTACTCTAATACAGAAAACTGTAGTCTTACGGTAAACGACAACAACCATTAAACAAACCGCTAAACGATAAACTAAAAAAATTCAACTACTCTTCTCTAAAAATCGCACACGTCAACATTAAAAAGGGGTCCGCGTGATTTGCTTACGATATTGATTCGTAATCTCAAAGCTCGCGCACGCGAGTCTCGCGCGCAGAAGTTTGTTAACGTCTTCTTAACAGTAGGCAAAAGGCGTGGCAGCCGTTACACTGTGACACTGTGTCTGTGAAGATTTGTATTCAGTTTGCTGATCGAAGAAACCTGAGTAAAAGTTACAAGAATAAACGAGAGAAACTTTATGTGTATTCTTTATGCACCATTTCCACAAGAGCAGTTTCGAAAGAAGGAAGATCTATTTTTATTGTAGATTTGAAAACATTATAAAGAAATTTTTTTTCTCTCTAGTTTACAGATGTCAGTCAGGGCCATGCCACCAGCCAAATGCGTGCACGTAGCAACCCCACTGAGCCGTCTATGGAGAATTTGGCTTTCGAAGAAGGTTTAACTTCCACCAACGAGGAGCCCGAGTGGACTGTCGGTCGCAGGAGGAACGATTTAGAACAACCAAGAGCTTACCAGTTGGTAGATGGTGGACGACATACTACAGGAAGTGGGGAAGTGTCTACTTTCATCCATGGAAATGAAATGGCCGGCACTATGGCAGTTGGTGGACAGTCTGGTGAAGGATCTTGCACTGTCCAGGAGAAGGATTCCATCGCAGGTCCGACGGCGAGTTCATATGCGCGACAGTCACTTCGAATGGATAATGATGATGTTTCGGGCCATTCCATCTGTAATGGAGGAGATGGAAATGTTCTCCTTCAAGAGGATCAGGTTGAACAGGATGTCTGGATGGAGAGACCGGAACATCTGCCATTTCCCCAGCAGGAAGGTGGTATACAGGTCAATGGGTTAAGTGTACCTATTCAGGAGACGGAACTGTGCAGATCGAGTGAGTCAGGTACATGCCAAACACGCGATCAGGGTTGTGCCTCGAGTCATCCCTTACAGGAGACCGAACGGCCAGCTGCAAGACGGCTAAGGGAACCTTCCGGCTTGCTTGCATGTCAACAGCCTTGTCATGACGGCTTCGTTAATGTAGTGAGCTCGTTGGGTCAGATCGAACAGCCTATTGAGCATGCCTGTGAACGCCAGGAAATACGATTATGGAAAGTACAACTTGATAGGCAAGTATTACATCAGTTGGATCACTACCATTAAAGATAGTTAAGCTAAGAGGAGCGCTTGCTCTACTGGAGCCACATCCGTGATTTGCGCTTCAGTTGGATGCCCCAATTACGATCTTGGAGAAAAATTACTCGACACGAATTTAAATTCCCCTTAATATACATCCATTTTGAAATCGCGGAAGTAGGTTTTTATGTTGTTAACTGCCAATATTTTCTTGAAAAAAAAAAACAAAAACAAACGAGAAAGGTATAAAAACTGAAATCGGATGGTTTTTGTTGGTGTAGTGTTCACTGAAAATTGCCGGACTAACCGTACGGGAGTCATCGCAAGGATCAGCAAACGCTTCATTAATAAATACAAGAACGGTAGAAATTCTCTTTGATTCGCGCTAAAAACTTATTTTGACGCAAACGATTAGCTTAATCTGGCTAATCGTTTGCGTTTGCATTTGAGCAAAAAACTCACTAGGAATTTTTTGGCTTTATTAAAGATCACTGGATAGTCCGGTTAGTACAGTCAGCCGTTAAAATAAGGAAAGGCTGCCTTACTTATAAATTTATGGCATCAAAGTCACTGTCTTAAAAGGATGTTAGTCACGAGTTTTTATGTCACGTATAAAAAGGAAATAGGATCTGTTTCATTTACCCTACAGTCAGTGATGGTTTGTTTTCAGGTCTGCTTCACAAAAAGCCGCAAGGAACAAACAAAATCCTCGGGAAACTTATTTCATAGTGAAGTATACGGAGGTTGGACAACTTCGCCAGGTTGGTTATCTTTTTCTTTCTAATATGTCATTACAGTTTTCATAATTTATTTCGAGCATGAGGATGCAATACTTTTTATTGTAACATTTCTTGCCAGTTTTTGTTTATTACGTTTTATTCTTACTTGACTTTAATATTGTTAGGCCGGTGACAACGGCTTTGTACCAGCCGTTTTCAGTTCCGCCATTGACTCCGATAGCTTCGAATATAAGTTTGGGGTAAGGATGTATCCCAATGGAGTTGGTGACGGAAGAGGCAGGTATGTGGCCATTTTTGTTCACATCATGGAGGGTGAACACGATGACTTCTTATCCTGGCCTTACGCTGGAAGAATCACTTTGTCAGTTTTGGATAGAAGTGGACACAGGCACAACGACATCAGCCGCACTTTGCAAGCTAAACCAACCTCAGCTGCATTTCAAAGGCCTCGGGAAGCCATTTGCCCTATGGGATATGGCTTCCTTTACTTCGCTAGGATGGAGCTGTTTTTCAGTCCTCAATTTGTCAAAAACGATGAACTGTTTTTGAAAATTGAATTTTCTACCAAATGAAGAAACCAAAGCGAATGTTTTCATATCCATAGTGTTTCTAAGAATTTTAGAGAGGAAAGTTTGTGTAATTTATTGAGAAGACGTTTCTACCCAAATGGTCGTTAGTAATGAATTACCACCTTCTGGGCTTTCTCTGCATCTGAAATCATTTAAATGAGCGAGTCCTAGGAAGTTTTCAACCATGATACACCATTAATTGTAATTGTACATCCTATGCTGCATACCTACTTGTGCCTACTTTATAGATGTGTTCCGTGGGTCTCATAAAGGAGAGTGGCAAAGGGTTAAGACGTGTCATTTGATCAACCGAAAATTAATACGCGAAGCGTGAATTCTACAGAAAGGAATGGTGATTAAGGTCAGTTTTAAACTCGTTACGTCTGAAATACTGCTGTAAGTACAGGTGACACATGAAGTTTTCCTATTTTCGTGCCTGAAACGGGATCAGGACCCCTTCTTTGCCACCCTCATACAGCTTCTAGTTAGGAACGTAGTGGTAAGCAGGATATGGCTTAAAACAACTAATTTACTTGCCTCATGAAAAAATTCGCTAGAATACACTGTAAAGACATTTACATAGCGACTTGAGTACAATATGACAACAGCACGTTATTCGCGAAATGTGTAGGATCTCTATTACATCCGCTTGAAGCTTCAGCTTTTTAAAGCTTAAAAGCAAGTTTTTTGGAAGACATAAGGACTTAATTTAGTGGCTGCATTCCCTTCTTAGAGCCGTTTGCTAAATGCTGGTTCGTTTTACAAGAATCATGTGAAGAAAATTCAAGAACATAAGAAAGAAAAGTAGATGCAGGCTTCCTGCAGAATATGCACCTAATTTTGCTTGAAACAGGTCTCGCTGTGAATGTTTTTAAATTTCTAAAACAAATGATAACGAAATTGTTATCTTATTTTGCTATGCTTACAACATTGGGAGCAAGATTATTCTCAGCAGCTGCTCCGAAACTCTGGAATGGCCTACCTATGGAGCTTCGTCAAGTAACATCACTTAACAGTTTTAAATCTCGAATTAAAACCTATCTTTTTAAGAAGTATTTTTATAGTCTGTAACTTAGTTCATTTTATTCTCACAGTAATGTATTTTTGCTTTCTCTTAAACATATGATTGTAAAGCGCTATTGATCAGCACATGTAACTACGCGCTATATAAATTGGTAAATTATTATTATCATTATTATTATTATTATTGTTAAGGGGTTTTTTTAAAGAAAACAATGGCGAAATTAATAGACTGCCCTTGGGACTACGACTTTGTTTTAGAATTGTACAGGGCTGTGTGGAAATCTTTCCGATCTTCCTTCAATGTATTTATCACGGGTTACGTAACGCTCTCTTAGGGGTGTTGCATAGAATGTTGTCACAATTGCTTCATTAGCGGTAGGCTATACATTCTAGCTGTTGTCATTTATATTCATTTATATTCATTTATATTCTTACGACCGTCCCTACGCCCTCAAAATTAAATACCCAGTAACTAGGGCTGTCAGGTTCTCTTAGAAGTAGTTTTTGCATATACGAACGTAGTTGAGATTGTTTTGTTGGGTAGTTTTTCTTGCTTTTTTTTTTTTACATTTCCGAAATTTCATTCCGTTGATGTACTATTCAAACCAATTTTGTTGATAAAGGCATAATAAAGAGGATCGCATAATGTAACCGTCGTTGATACTATCTCGAAATTCATTCAGGTTGGCCAACGTACGACCTTGTGGCCCGAAGAGTAAAAACATGTGTGTCTTGTCCGAGCCAAGACTGGAAACGAAAACTTAAACTAAAAGCCGCAGTAATCTAATGCGCCAGCATTAACACATAAGGGTCGTGTTGACACACCCTAATTATGGTTATTTATTGAATGATAAATGTTAAATATTCGTTTGAGCGGGGAAGCGAATTAGAATATAAGACTTATACTTGAACATGCCGTTAGAAAGAGGATACGGCCCTTGGATTTTGAACATCATCCTCCTTTTAATTTTTGCTCAACCAAAGCAGAGCCTTATCTTTTGCTGCAAAAATGGGCCTCAATCCTTCCTCAAAAAAGCTTTTGAAAGGCTGTTTTTTCTGAACTAAAATTCGCGTGTTAATATCAGCAATCGATTGAATGGATTCATGTGAGTCCCAGGGTGTTTTTCGTGAGATAGCTCCGAAAGCTTCCGAAAAGTCACGGGCTCAGCAGACTTACTTACATTCCTTTACCTACGGACTTACAATGACGATGACATAATGTATTACTGGCTCAGCCAGTAACCATATCAACGGACATCGCCGAAGCTTGCTTCGGAAAACTACCGACACTTATACATACCGACACTTAAGATAATTTCCGGAGCAAGAGGAATTTCACGGACTTATTTACCTACTTACACAACTATAAAATAGCAGGTGTAGTCTCTAATACACTTTAGGCGCCAACAATGTTCTTCTTGTGCCATGAAAAGTACGAGAATCTTCTCCGTGACATTGTTCGATTCACTTCCCTCTTTGAAATTGTTTACTACGATTTACAATAGGAAGTGTGCTTTCAATGGACTTTGGAGTTGGACTTTGAACTCTCAGCTTTCAATGGACTTTGGAGTCGGACTTTGCTCTCTCATTTTTCCTAATGTGTTGCTGACCAATCAGGATCAATCAGGATCAATCAGGATCAAAGGAGTGAGTTTCGTGGGAATATTGGCGTGTGGTGTCTTGTTACAAACCTTTCGAAAGAATATTTACTGGCAGTCAGCTTAAATAATTTGATTGTTTGTTCGAGTTTGTCTGTTTATCCATGCTCCAAGAGACGTTCCAAACGATTAGGTGACCTTGCAGAGTGAGGTAAATATCGAAATCCAACGGTCTGCTGGGCCTTAATGTCTCTCTTTTATCGGAAAGTAATTCCCTCTTTCTAAGAATCCATTTTAGTCTGTAACAGTTTTCTATATCAAGTGGCTCCCTTGATTGGATATTACATCCATTAACCAAAAAAAAGGTCGTAAGCGCTTCTTAGCAGACGAAATTTAAATGTTACAATAAAGTGTAAACATTTGGCGTTAGCTCTTTGTAATTGCAACCGGTAGCAGATTTGTGCTTAGTCCGTAATTACGCACGTCTTAACTTTAATGTACTGTATTTCATTGCGCAGTTTTTCGGAAGAGCCTTTCGTAAATATGAAATTTGATGTTCGATGGATGTCCTATGTTTGTGTGTATAACTTCCGTCACGCTGTCACGCCTCCGCCATACCTTCAAACACACCTCTAATCGCAAAAAAATAATTGATAATGATGGATTGATCTATTCGTCACAATGATCGAGTAATGTATGGGTGAGGTAGTCCCCGCGAACTATAAAATACTGATTCTCATTTGTAGACGCTACTGCCGTGAGAAAAATGTATGATATCAGTGGTTAGTGCGAGAAGGCTCGGATTGAACTCCAGCGCACCTATGTTTAGAAAGATTCGGTAAGCGAAGAATGAATTGAAATACATCTATGTTTTAAGTACATTATGCAACCATCGTTGAAAGAGGGAATTGTTATTATCAGATCATCGCTATTAAGGCATAAAGCAATTCGACCTACTGATCCAGTTCCCAGTTCTCCTAAAGGCTTCATAATAGCTAAATCAATTTATCGGATAACGGC